CCGTGTCACTGTGTTCGTTTACGCTAATCTCCGAAACCGCTTAACCGATTTCAATGAAATTTTGTGGGTGTGTATTGTTGGTTTCAACTTCAAAGATAGAATAGTTTTGAATTCGAGGAAACATATTTTTTTTTCATCGAAATTTTTTCTATGCTTCTCTCAACGTGCTTATTTTAATATATGTATAAAATCCCGTGTCACTGTGTTCGTTTACGCTAATCTCCGAAACCGCTTAACCGATTTCAATGAAATTATGTGGGTGTGTATTGTTGGTTCCAACTTAAAAGACAGGATAGTTTTGAACTCGAGTAAAAAATATTTTTTGTTTTATCGAAATTTTTTCTATGCTCCTCTCAACGTGCTTATCTTAGGTTGCAAACAGGGTGGAAGCGAAGCCGAAGACGAAGATAAAGACGAAGCCGTGGCCCCCTAAGCCCCCCTCATTTGAAAGGAGACAGCCCCACTTTACGAAAAGGCATCCCCCCCCCCTTCGGGGCCTCCCACAGACCCCTAGGGAACCGTTTGGAAATCATGGATCATCGTTTGGATCATGAGTATTGGATACTTAAAAGTATTGCCTCGGCACTTCACTACTGCTGTCATTTCGACTGTGACGTCAGCAAAACAGCTGATTCTGTCAAATTCACTGAGAGCCGATTAGCGGTATTGCCATCGGCGCCACCTTCTGTATTCTCTCCACCGTGAATACTCTCGATACTCGGTATCGAAATATTTAGGTTTCGAACAAAAGCGCACATAGGCCAAAAATATGGAAAAAACGCCTAACAAAACCAGAATGTAGGAGCCAATAGATCTTTTAATACTGATTCAAATGAAAGATGTATATATGTCGGTTCGAGGCCATAATACAGAGAAACGCGTACTTGTTTGAAGAATTTTTGTTCCAGCTGAATCGTACGATATCCTTTTTGTAGGCCTGAAGCAGATTCTGTAACCAGTTAGCGACAATTTTGGAATCGGTATCGGTTTTGTTGACGTATGATATGAAATATTTTTACGTCAACAAGTGCGATATCGATCCGAAACTTGTCGCTAACTGGTTAAAAAATCTCCCCCCTGAAAGGCTTCTTCATCCGTCAAAGTATTTTTCTTGAACCTTGGATCGACTAAGGTTAAAACTGATAAAATAATATTTCCCTGTTGCGATAAGTTCAAGTGTTTTAGCCGATATCACATAAATTAGTAGTAATAAAAGTTTTTTTTAAACTTGAAATGCATATAATGGCGAAGGTTTAATGTAAAGAATTAGTATAGGGTACCGAAACCATTTTTAAGTATTGGGTACTGACAATTCAGCACATTACTAGACAGCAGTTTTATTTGCCGCTCTCAGATGTCAACTCTACGATTACTCTCACGAATTCTTCTGCAATCGGCGCAATCTTGTATTCTATCATTCTTGCTGTGTACGTATACGAACCAGTGTTGCCGCGAATAATTTTTAGTGGTAGCTAAATTCCTTTAAAAAAAGGGCTAAAAAAGAGCTAAAAAATGTCGTTGTGGCTAAAAATGGTAGCTAAGTTTTTTTACTTACATATACATATATAAGTTTACACGCAAACATTTTCAGTAAGTAGTGGTATAGAAAAACAATGAACTCTGGAAAAAAGTTAATATTTTATCAAACCAAAAACCTTGTTGTATAAAAGGGGAAATATACGACACCAGCTTGATGGCTCCATCAGGTGATTGTACCATCAAGCTCGAAGCATATAACTAACTAGCATACTGGTACAATATTTATTTCTTTACAAATGAGGTCGAGGTAAGATCGAAATGATTAGAGCCGAAATTTTATAATATTTCTACAATTCTGTTAAACATGATTTTTTTTTTTGTAATTCACAACTGCAATATCGTGAACTTAATCTTCCACAAATACGGCTTTGACTCATATAGTGCAAGAAATTTCCGCCGAAATACTTATTGCTTAGAAAATTCATCCAATTTCACCACTCACGACACCAGCATGCTGGTACAATAAAAAAATTTTCAAATAGTTTTTGAAGTCGCACCAGCGGCTGGTTCAATCATACCACAAGAACATACACGGTCAAACGACTTGATGGGCCATTTAACAAATTAAGCATATTAAGGGCCGTAAACTTATCTATTTTAAACTATAGTTAAATCGTTAATAAATAAGTTAACAGCCCTAACACTTACCTACAGTATGTATGTATAAAAACGTAAGGAACATACAATACATATAGGTATATATATCAGTCTTTCTTAGTTTAAAAATTAATCTCTTACTTAAATTAAAAAAAAAAAATGAGATCAAAATAAGCATATACAACTTTTTCATGCCAAGTATGAATAAATTTTCCAAAGGGCTAAAAAAGGGCTAGGGGCAATTTTAAATTTATGTGGCCAAAAAAAGTATGTGGTAGCTAAATCTAGCCACCAAAGGGCTGAAACGGCAACACTGGTCGTTGTGCTGTGTATGCAGTTACAGTTGCACGGCTATACTCAATCCCGACTCTTGCGTCCTCGTTCTCGCACTCTGGGCAACGTGAGCAACCCATGTGCGAGATGCGGTAACCATTCCGAGTGGATCCTTGGGTCACGGCAGAAAGAGAGGGAGCTTCGGTGAGGCCACTCCGACTTATTCGGTTTAAGGGCTCGCTGAAGTCTGCAGCGTCTGTTCACCTGTAGGTGTGACTGCAAGCGGGTGTCTGTCTTGGAGCAAGCGGCTCGCTATATAAACGTGTATTTGGTTGTGGAACCACCCCCGTCCCAGCAATTAGTTGTGCGCTGGGTTTGGGACCCGCCACGTAAAAACCCCTTCCAGTGAAAAAGTGAAATAATGCCTCGGATGAGACCCCCCTTATTATGACGACCACGGCAAATGTTTAAAGGACTACAATTTGAAGGCATGCACCTGGAATATCCGGACCCTTAATGGGGAAGGTGCCTCTGCCCAGCTGGTTGATGTCCTCATAAGAACAAAGCCATCCAAGAAATGCGTTGGACGGGGCAAGGCAAGCAATGCCTGCGTCCTTGCAACGTATACTACAGCTGCCATGTAAAGGAGCGAAAATTCGGTGATCGATTTGTGGTGGGAGAGAGATTCCGTCGCCGAGTACTGTCGTTCACCCCGGTGAACGTGCGTCTAGCCATAATCCGCATCAAAGCGAGATTCTTCAACATTTCGCTCATCTGCGCCCATGCCCCGACGGAAGAGAAGGATGAGGTGCCCCCGCCACGATACCAAAATCGTGCTTGGCGGCTCCAATACTAGGGTGGGCAACCACCGTCGGAAA